GTGTGTGTAGTGTGTTGTGTGTGTGTGTGTGTGTGTGTGTGTGTGTGTGTGTGTGTGTGTGTGTGTGTGTGTGTGTGTGTGTGTGTGTAGAAAGCGTATGATCTAGGCTTGATGTATCACATCCCGATGCAATAGGTAACATATCTACATATGTACGCATATGTTACCTGCGCTGGACTATAAATATATGCGATAAAGCAGTCAAGCAATACACAAATACGATAATCACCCATCACATCAAGAGATGCTACATCTACTACAAACCATTTACAGTCCCATAACGTATGCTCCCCACAACCTTATGACTTACACCTACTCATAACCCTTTTACTAACAACTGCTCATACCCTAGTAACTTACACCTACCCATACCCTTGCAACTTACACCTACTCATACCCTTGTAAGTTACACCTACTCATACCCGTGAAACTTACAATTACTCATACCCTTGTAACTTACGCCTACTCATACCTTTGTAACTTACACCTACTCATACCCGTGTAACTTACAACTACTCATACCCTTGTAACTTACACCTACCCATACCCTTGTAACTTACAACTACTCATACCCTTGTAAGTTACACCTACTCATACCCTTGTAACTTACAACTTCTCATACCCTTGTAACTTACACCTACTCATACCCTTGTAACTTAAAACTACTCATACCCTTTTAACCTACACCTACTCATAACCTTGTAACTTACACCTACTCATACCCTTGTAACTTGGCGTAGTCCAGCCACAACTGAACGTAAAGGTCTGACTCTAAAATCGAATCTCTCGGTGTGATGGATGTCGAAGCGCGTTGGTACAAAGGAAGTAGAACCTGTGACGTGCCGAGACCAGCAGAATTAGACGACATTTTTTTTTAAAAAGGAAGATACATCGTTTTAGGCCTGAGGCATGAGTAGATGATACAAACCCTCAGAACGCCCAGGTTCTCAATATTATCACGGATGCTTAGAATTAGACTGACATTCTGAATACTAATCTAGGACATACGTTAATGCATAAACACTAATACATATAATTTGCGTTTATATATATATATA